AATATATCGTGCTTATTTTTAAAGTCTTTCAGTTTCATGATGTGTGTTCTGTGTTCAATGCATGTACACATCAGCATTGTTATTAATCCAAAACTACCCAACAGGTTATCAAAACTTTCCATTAAACTTAATATACGCCACATATGAATAGCTCATAAAAAATATATATTTATGCTATGTATGCAGTTATGTCAAAATATATTTGAACACAACACAACCCGAACGCGATAACATTCGAACTTCATTAAAAACTAAAATTGGAAAAATAAACACTACGGTTTTGCCACTTGAAAGCAGCATATTAGCTAATCAATCAAATTTTGCTATACGGACAATAATTACCATATAGAATGGGTATAAACATTCACAAATTAAAATACAACATTCAAACTCGAACGATAAAGTGTCAGGTGACTGATGTAAACAAAAGGACGACGGATAGTCAGTGAGTCGAACTTGAGTACCTCAACATGAAGAAAATTACGGCAGAAACGAGCAACGGTCCAGCTGAAAAGGAAGAACAGCGAGAGACAAATGACGAGGAAGATATGGAGGAGGAAATGGAAGAATATGATGAAGAGGGTAATGTTTAACGAAGAGACTGAAGGACCCAGAAATGGTCTTCAGTTAAAGTATTCATACATCTTGATATGGTTATCTCCAAACGATTCAAGGAAATTGTAATATATTTATAAAAACTATAGTTACTTTTAAATTCCTGGTTTCCCTTTGAAACACGAAAAAGTCTTTCTCCTATAGAGATTAATATGACAGGAGATGGTGCAAGTTGTTATAATGGATATAGCCAACCGGTTTAGGACCTATATTTGTTACAAAGAACAAAATCTTACCCATAGGAAACAAAGAGCATCTCACTTACATATCACAAGTAAAGCAGATTAATATTTAGAATCTGGCTTTACTGTATTGGCATTTAGGGGTCATGCCGGGCCTTTGTATAATGGCATTATGTTAATGTTTATAATTCGTGAAATGATAATCTTAACTGGTATTTATACCAGCCTAGGGTCATTTATGTGTTAAAATTTTGATTTCATTTAACAATACTGAAAAAAAAATACTGGTGAAATAAACACTCTGCAATGTCTCAAAGTTGTCCATTTTTCTTTTCAGAGTTCTCCAAGCTAAATGCCGAGTTAGATGCTTTGAACACGGCCTTGGATGCCATTGAGGAAAAGAATGATTTCATCAACGTCCGTTTGCGGCAGATTCTGATGGAGAACAAGTCCTTAAGAGAAGCTGAAGTATCAGGACAGAAATGAGTTATACAAGAATTTTCTGAGGTCTACAAATGTCACTTTCATTTCATAAGAGAGAGTTTTTATGTCATATGTATGTTTTTTTTTTTTTTTTTTTTAAGGAAATTATATATAGATTATTTGACATATATTGTTTTTGAGAGTGGGATTATAGGTGAAATTAATGCATATTTATGTATTCCTGTGAATTACCAGGAACTTTTTAATGTTGGTTTCATTGTATTTTCAAAAGTATGGTAAAGGTGAATTAGAGGCTAGATTTTACATCATAGGGAATCTTGTAAGTGCAAGTACAGATAATTTATCCTCAAAATGTTGGCCCATATGGAACAGTAGCATCATTAGAAGATAAGAAATATTCCAATAGATTCTAGAGAACTAGTACATGATAATTTGACATTTCGAAACTGATAACTGTAAGTAAAGCTATTCTGGTTTGAACCAGGCTATAGAATTTGTTTATTATAATTACAGGAGTTGGAAAACCATTCAAATTTTGCAGTTGTTTATACATGCACAAATATACAGATACACTGTTTTCAGACAGAAAAAATATATAGTTTGTGATTTATTAAGATGTAATTTACTGTCAAAAATGATAGCCATATAAATGTATATATATATATTGTTTAACATTCTGAATGTGTATTGGGCAGATATGTGTTGTAATCAAAGAATTATGAGAAAAAAATCTGTGATCCTATTTTCAAATTGTGATGTTATCATGCTAATGACTTATGCGCCATTATTATTATATGGCTATTGTTTAAAGGACACCAGAGTTAATGTTAAAAATGTGTAATTATGCAAATACTGTACAAATCCATTCCAGTAGACATTGTATAGCTCCATATTCTGTGTAAATGTTGTGTATATGATTGATGATGTAAAGTAATTCTAAACCATGTCATCTGTGTTTTTAACCCTTATTATCCAGAAGTATGCATTTTGTGAATGTCAGTATTATTTTAAGCTTCCGTAAGAAAATTTATATTTTGCAATTTCATTTAAGCCTTTAAAGAACATTCAAGGATATAAGTGTAGTAGTTGTTCAAGTTCTTGTGATATTGATGGTATAAAAACATTAATGAAATGTCTTTTTTAGTAACAATATTTCCTATATAAATTGAAGTATAGGAGAATGACTATAGTTGGCATCAAAAGACTGACCTCCTGTTTACTACTACTAAACTATTGATTTTGATTCTCTCTCTCTCTCTCTCTCTCTCTCTCTCTCTCTCTCTCTCTCTCTCTCTCTCTCTTCTCTCTCTCTCTCCTCTCTCTCTCTCTCTCTCTCTCTCTCTCTCTCTCTCTCTCTCTCTCTCTCTCTCTCTCTCTCTCTCTCTCTCTCTCTCTCTCTCTCTCTCTCTCTCTCTCTCTCTCTCTCTCTCTCTCTCTCTCTCTCTCTCTCTCTTTCTCTCTCTTCTCTCTCTCTCTCTCTCTCTCTCTCTCTCTCTCTCTCTCTCTCTCTCTCTCTCTCTCTCTCTCTCTCTCTCTCTCTCTCTCTCTCTCTCTAGCTTGTTATCAGACAGTAATGGAAACTGGAGATAATTGGAGATGTCATTATAAGAAACCACAGACGTGAGCGTGGATTTAGTAGCTGTGTTTATATGAAAATATAGGATTTCGACACCTCACATACAACTGTTAACTTGAAAAAAGAGGGAAAATGTGCGAGCGACTTAGCGGGGCTTAGCAAACACGAGATCTGATTGTTGATTGAAGCCAAGGTAAAAGTTAAGTCAACAATGTTGTTTTACAAGTAGGAATTTTGGGATGTGTGTACAGCATACACATAGTTTTATTCTTACATTATTGCCCCAGTCGTAAGAGTCGTGCGGTATAGCCTTAGATTCCCCTATGTGAAATTGATATCTTAATTGGAATATTTGCAAAATAGTTGTTCAAAAGGGATGCAGGTATACCCTCCAGTTGACCACAACAGCTCGATTATCCAAAGCTGAATCATGAACTTACTATAATAACTCTGCCCTGGCTTCATTCACAAACGGTGATGGCATCATTAAAGAGAAAATCATCGTAAAGTGTACATACACAGAGTTTTTAAAGTCAATTTGCGCGACTATAATAGTAATATAGACATACAGACAAATGCATACATCTACAGTAGCACAAATATAATATGCTACACAAGATGCAAAATGAGCATTCATATTCTAGGGGTCGTGCCCAGCCCCCCCCCCCCCCCCGAGCCAGCCTCAAAAAGGTGGGGGTAATGGACCAACGAGCGCTGCTTCTGACGACGTATATATAGGCGTTGTTTCTCCTTGCGGAAACAACGCTCTTTTCTTCTACGTTTTATTATTCAGAAATTTATCAAAATCTGCACGTGCTTATTAAACCCAAGGCAGTGCAGAATACTCGTGGCCAAAATCAAACTTGTAAGGGAGTAGAATTTCACAACTACAGGCTTTGGCAACTTTGGCAAGTCCTTCCCTTCCATTTTTTTTTCAATTTTGGAAAAATCTCGGGGAACCATCTCTTTGTAAAGTTGGGGGGGGGGGGGGCGGACCGCTCCATTCCCCCTATAGCTCCGCCCCTGCTCACCTTAAACTCAACACACACACACACCACACACACACACACACACACATTCACCACACACACACTCAAACACACACACACACACACACACACACACCACACACACACACACACCACGCACACACACACCACACATTTATATATATATAATATATATATATATATTATATATAGATACATATATGACACTATAATATATAAATAATATATATATATATATATTATTATATAATATATATTATAATACACACACACACAAATATACACAACACACACTGTATGTATGTGTGTGCGTTATGGTGTTTGCAGCACTAAAGGTTACTCAATTCCAACCGCCGCCTCCGGATAAAGTTACCCAATACAGATTCTCCTAAGTAATCTGGGGCTTCGCGGCCCTTCCTCCCCCGTCATCTTTTTCTTTGTTTTTGTTTGATTTATATATATTATAATATATTATATATAAATACCATACATATTCATTACACACACAAACA